ATTTCCGTTGAACTCAATTATACCAATATTAGTGTTATAATTTAGGTTTTTGCGTTTGTTTGAATTCCCTCTTAGTTTTTTTTTTTTTCGAACTTTCACTGTAATCCTTACGGTTCCAGATTGTTGCTTCTCGCATTGTACTTCTAGTACATTTTTTTGTCCTTCGAGCCGGATTGTGAGGTTTTAAGTGAATTTTCGTGAACGTAATCTAAGTTTCGTGTGTGTAACTGCTCATATACTGATTTTTATTTGCGAGTGCCGACATCTTCGGTTTTTTTTGTGTGTGAATTCGCCTTTGTGTTGCTTGACAACAACGCTTGTTGTCCTGCGACGCTTGTTTAGTACTCTCCTTCTGTGCTTGTGCGTGAAGCAAGGTGCCCTATAGTTTCCCGCGTTAGTTGTGTCTCACTCTCTCTAAAATGGCGGCTAACAAACTCGCTTGCTAACATGGCGGCTGAAGGAGAAGCTGGTGTGTTTTCTGCAATTAATCGCTACACAGTTTCCTTCAAAATTGATCTTCTCGGGCAGACTTGGCTATCCTTCTCAACGATGCATATGCAACTATTCGATGGTAATTCTGAAGGCTTGTTAGAGACGACTTACTTAAAAAAAGATGTGTACAACCAATGCCTCCAACATTACCAGAGCCCCAGAATTTCTCTACTAGAGAGAAAGGAAGAGCTTGACAAGACTTCCTCTACCCCGTCGGGAACTGCAATGTTTCAGAATTCATTCGCTACCGGAGGTTCATCACAACTTCAGAAGTTACCGGAAATCCAGCTTCCTACCTTCACTGGGTAGTATTCAGAGTGGAAACATTTCCAACAGTTGTTCGTTTCTCTGGTTGGAAACAATGAGACACTCTCACCTGTCGTCAAGATGCACTATCTTAAGACACAGGTGAAGGGACCCGCTGGAGATCTAATCGCTAGTTTACCAATCACTGGAGAGGCATTCACTACGGCCTGGGATTTATTAGTTGCTCGCTATGACAATCCTAGACTGATGTTATCTTCCCATCTAGACTGTCTTCTTTCACTTGAGAAGATAGCTCCTCGCTCTGCACGGGCCTTAAATGACCTCCTGAGTTCAGCCACCAAGGCCATTGAGTCCATCAAGGGTCTTAACGTCACTACGGATACCTGGGATCCGATTCTTGTGTACCTTACTGTCAGTAAGCTTGACGATCGTTTGAGAGAAAGCTGGGAGAACCATCTAGGATCTTCAAGTGAGTTTTCTGCATTCTCTTTTCTCACGCAGCTTCTGACGGGACGAGCTCGCGCTATGGAGACGCTCGAGATCAACACTCCTGTTTCCACGACATCTACTGAGTCCACATCCTCCCGCCAGTCAGTGAAGTCCATTGCTTCTCGTAGCTCCGCTAGAGTTCATATTTCTATCGCTGCAGTCAGGTCAAGTAAGCTGGGGTTGTGTGCCATCTGTGAGAAGAAGCACTGCGTTCTTTTCTGCCCCACTTACCAAAATGCAGATGGACCTGAGGGCAAGTTGGAACTGGTAAAACAGTACAACTTGTGTTTCAACTGTTTGGGGCGACACAAAATTGAGAACTGTGAGACCAAACAAGGGTGTAAGAAATGTGGCACATCATACTTCTACCCATTTTAAACGCCCTTCTGAGGCTCGAAGACTTGGTTCAACGCAATCTACCTACGCTGCCTCAGGAACATCGAACCAGGCTGAAACTCAACAATGACTAGCTACGTCTAGCGGTAATCTTGATGATGATTTTTTCGCTACTACTCAAGTAAACTCTCCTGTGTTACTCGCTACTTCTAGAGTTTCAGTTTCTTTTCTACGAGGTCATTCGTTACCTGCTCCAGCACTCATTGATCTAGGCTCTGAGTTGTCATTTATCTCGCTACAGCTATTCAAGAGGCTTCAATGCCCTCGCCAACGTTCATCGCTTTCGCTACATGGTATTGGAAATTCGTCTGCTGGCAATACTCTTGGAAAATGTCAACTTTAGCTGCATTCGCTACACTCATCAGCTGTGATACCTATCACGGCTCATATTCTGTCAACAGTTACAGCTAATTTACCCTCATTCAACTGTCCAGCCCGTAATTGGCCTCATCTCTCTGGACTACAGTTGGCAGATCCAGAGTATTTTTTGCCAGGTGAAATTGATCTTGTGCTCGGTGCTGTTCCAACTGGGCTAATTCTTGACGGAGAGATTCTGAAGGGACCTTCTAGCACTCCTGTTGCACAATCTACCGCTCTTGGTTGGATTGTTTTTGGGGCTGCTGATCATCCAACGAACTCTGCAACCGCTAAGGAGGGCTATGGATATCACGCATCCGCTGATGATGATATTCAAGAGCTTCTCGTTTCCTTTTGGATCCAAGAGACGATGCAGTCTTCTTCTACTGTCATTCTCAGTCCTGATGAGACTAAATTTGAGCATCACTTCGCTACTACTCACGCCAGAGATTCTTCAGGACGCTATGTGGTTCGCCTTCCGCTGAAACAGTCTATTGAACAACTTGGGGACTCCTCTACAGCTGCGAAAAGATGTTTACAAAGCATGCTGCGCCGCTTATCTTCTAATGCAACGCTTAGTTCACTCTACTACAACTTTATGAGTGAGTATGAACAAATGATCATATGAGAGTTGCTTCCTCTGTTTCAGCTAGCAAACCACACTTCTATCTGCCTCACCATGGCGTCCTGAAGGAGCATAGTACGACTACCAAACTCAGGGTAGTATTCAACGGCTCCTGCAATACCTCTGCTGGTGCTTCGCTGAACGATGTACTTCATCCTGGTCCTAAAATCCAGATTGAGCTCTCCGACGTTCTTCCCTGGATCAGACGACACCCCTACGTATTCGCTACTGACATCACCAAGATGATTAGACAGATTAAGGTGCATCCGCTAGATTGGGATTTGCAACGCATTCTCTGGGTTAATTCGCAACAACAGGTAGTACCTTATTATCTTACGACAGTTACTTATGGCACCCGTTGCGCACCTTTTCTAGCCGTACGTACGCTTTTACAACTGGTCCAAGATGAAGGAATAAAGTTTCCCCTCGCTGTAGAACCGCTCACGAAGGGTCGCTGCGTAGACGACATTTATGGAGGAGCTCATTCGTCACAAGCAGCCGCTAAAATCGCTAACCAGCTGATTGAAATCTGTACTTCTGGAGGTTTTCCGCTCGCAAAGTGGGCCAGCAACTCTGATGAGCTACTTCAACAAGTCTCTACAACGGACAGATCACCTGCAAGTTCAACCAGCTTTGAAGAGGCTACCATTAAGGTGCTGGGATTAAATTGGCACCATTCAGCAGATAAGTTTAAATTCTCTTATCATTTTTTTACTGAAAAGGCAGTTACAAAGCGATCTATTTTCTCTGAAACAGCTCGCCTATTCGATCCTCTTGGATTTCTCGCTCCTGTGGTTGTACGAGCCAAAATGCTGATGCAAGAATTGTGGCTTGAAAAAGTTACTTGGTATGAACCGCTCTCTCCTACGCTAGTACAAAAGTGGAATATATTCAGAGAAGACCTCGCTAATATCGAGTCAATCGAAATACCTCGCTGGTTGGGGTTATCAGTTGGAGTCACCATTGAACTTCATGGTTTCGCTGATGCTTCGCAACTTGCTATGGCAGCAGTAGTGTGCCTGAAGGTTATCTCGCCTGACGGAACTCCTACAGTCTCGCTTGTGTGTGCTAAAATTCAAGTTGCACCTCTACAACACACTACAATTCCACGCTTAGAATTAAACGCTGCAGTAATACTCGTTCAATTAACTCGCTATGTGAGTAAAACACTTGAGCTTGAAGAAGTTCCTATCTATCTGTGGACAGACTCGTCTGTGGCTCTTATATGGATTGGAAGCCACCCATTTCGCTGGAAGGAGCACCGCTAAATGAATGTTCATCCCTGGGAAGCAGAACCCTGCAGATTGTGTATCGAGAGGGCTAACAACAATAAAATTGGCTCAACATTCGCTCTGGTGGAGTGGCCCTTTTTGGTTGTCATCTGCTCGCGACCAATGGCCTCCTTTCGATACTCCAACGCAGACTCTCGCTCACATTGAAAACAGGTCTTATCTTCAATGTTGTAGGAAAAGCAGATCAACCTTCGCTTTGGGAACTGTTAACTCGCTATTCTTCGTTACCACGACTTCTACATACCGTAGCAATCTGCTTACGCTTTGTTGCATGTGCTAGAAAAGTACCAAACTCTTCGCTGACGATCACACCGCTTTCTACCGCTGACCTGGAATCAGCTAGACTGCTGATTATAAAACTTATTCAGAGTTACTACTTCACTGAGGCTATAAAAATCCTAGTTCAAGGCAATCAGCTACCATCTTCACATTATCTACTGAAATTAACACCGTTCATCGATCATCAAGGTGTTCTTCGAGTTGGTGGACGGTTGAACTACTCTCAACTTGATCCTCAGCAAAAACATCCAGCTATTTTGCCTCGACAATCTCCGCTTACTTCGCTACTCATTACTGAAGCCCATCATAAAACTCTTCATGGTGGTACTCAACTTACTCTTGCTTACCTGAGACGGTCGTACTGGATAATTGGTGGTCGAGCGCCAGTACGATCATTCATCTTACGCTGCGTCACTTGTGCACGTCACCGAGGACTTCGAGCCCAGCAGCTAATGGGACAACTACCATCTACTCGAGTCACACCTTCTAGAGCCTTTTTATACACCGGGATAGACTATGCTGGTCCTATCACTTTGAAAACCTGGAAAGGCAGAGGTGCAAAAACTCATAAGGGATGGATCGCAGTTTTTGTGTGCTTCTCAACTTCTGCAGTTCATCTTGAAGTCGTGTCTGATTATTCGACTGAGACATTCGTAGCAGCGTATAAGAGATTCGCTAGCCGTCGAGGCATCTGCCATACTCTCTATAGTGATTGTGGTACCAATTTCGCTGGGGCAGATGCAACGCTAAAATCGCTATTCAAGGCATGATCAAAGGAACTTGGAAAACTCGCTACCCTTCTCTCCAACGACGGCACAAACTGGGTATTCAATCCTCCTGGGGCTCCTCACTTTGGTGGCAAGTGGGAAGCAGCAGTGAAATCGCTAAAATTCCATCTTTCAAGAGTTATTGGTGAAACTTTACTCACTTATGAAGAAATGACAACGTTCCTTCATCAAGTAGAAGCCATTTTGAACTCGAGACCACTCGCTCCGCTCTCTGAGGATCCTGCAGACCTGTCAGCGTTAACTCCAGGTCATTTTCTTATCGGTGAGGCACTAAATGCTGTTCCAGAACCTTCGCTGAGTGAACTCGCTGAGTCAAGACTCTCAAAGTGGCAACTTATACAACAACGAACAGAACATTTCTGGAAAAGATGGTCCGCTGAGTGTCTACAACGCTACCAGGCCATATCAAAGTGGCATCACGCTTCAAACGAGGTGAAAGTCGGCTCGCTTGTGCTCATCACTGACGAAAGGCTACCACCAACAAAATGGCCCCTCGCTCGAGTTCTCTCTCTTCATCCTGGACGAGATGGACTGACCAGAGTGGTTACTATTCGTTCCGCTACCTCTACTCTGACCAGACCAATCGCTAAATTGTGTGTGCTACCAGTCGACGCCTTTGAAGAACCTTTTGTCAACGCTGTCGCCAAAGGGGGGGAGAATGTTAAGAAATTAGCGTGATTAACGACCCAAATCGACAACGACCCGACATCTACCAGTTCATAAGACTACTCGCGCTGCAGAACACTCGTTTACCGAGTGTGTCTACGACCTCTCCCTCTCTCCTCACCACTCGCCTCTAGAGCGGAGGACGACTGCCGGCGGCCATGAAACGAGAGTTGCTTTTTAACGTGCTAGAGGCAACCACGTGTTGATCTATTTATTTTTCGTTGAACTCAATTATATCAATAGTAGTGTAATAATTTAGATTTTTGTGTTTGCTTGAATTCCTCTTAGTTTTTATTTTTATTTCGATTTTTTACTGTAATCCTCACAGTACCAGATTGTTGCTTCTCGCTTGGTATTTTTAGTACAGATACAATGATTTGTAACGTTCTCGGGAACCGATTTGAGGTATTTATTAAAGATAGTCCACCAAAGAACATGAGGTAACCACTGTTTCCATACGTGATAAAAGGACCAAATGGATAGCCTATGTCGTCTTTGAACGGTGTGAGACGACGATTTGTGGCATTTTCAGGAACCTATCATGAAGCGTTTCTGAAGGATCGCCCACCAAAATACTCGAGTTACCCACTGCCTCTAAGCGAGAAAGTAGATAAAATGGACTACAAAAATCGCATTTACAGGGTGTGATACAATGACTTTTACCATTCTCGGGGACTTATATGAAGTATTTATTAGAGATAGTTCACCAAAGATCTAGAGGTAGCTA